CCAATGGTGCATTGGATAGGTCATCAACAGTGTGCGGCTCTGCAAATAAGCTTGTTATGATTGTTGTTGTTGTTTATGAGTTATAATCAACCAAATTGCTCACTAGAGGAATAGCGTGGCTCTCCTCACAGAGGAGTAATTCTATGACTGTATTCATAGGGCTGTGACGTGAATGACTCCCGTCATCAACATTTTCACAGTGCTGAAAGTGCATCCTCTGCCTTACAGACTTCTCTGATAACCAGAACTATGCCCCAAAGACAGCCCACAGGATCTGCTCTCGGTGATGCCAAGTGATCCTGTGGCCAACGAAGGGTCTTCAAATCCCAGAGGAAAGATCCTGATCCTAACCCTGACTGCAAATTGTGGTCCATTCTTCCCTTTGCTTGACATTGACAACACCTCTAAGCATCCAGAGAGTGGAAGTTTCATTTCCCAGGGGCCTCAGATCTCTGGCTTTGGGCAGCCACTGTGAGTTCCTGGCCACATCCTTAGTGTCTTTGGGACTTCCGCGCACAATGACTGGCTTACAATCACCAATAGGTGTGTCTCTGTGCCTAAGGATTCTTGACACCATGAGAATCCTTCTACCTTTGCACATGACAGCCTAGAGGTATCTGAACATTAGCATCCCTGAAAGCAATTGTGAAACAATGTCTGATGGCCATGGGTATATAAACGCCCAAGCTCCATGTTACCTGGGCAGGATGATTCTGTGTACGTGTTCAACACCCTCTCCCAAAGTTTCCCTGCAGCATGAACCCCAGCCGTGCATAGTGGTAGCCGGCATGATGTCATATTCTTCTTGGCTGCTTTCCCTTCCTTATTGAACCTCCCACCCCTCCCAATATTCTCTTCACTTCTCACATCCTCATCTCAGAGACTCTTTCCGAAAGAACCATATCCATACAAGTTTCTACCTGAAAATTTCAAACTCCATGCTACCAGAGGCCAGACAGGAAATAAAATTTAACAAATAGGAGAAGAATCCAATCTTCCATTCTTTCAATATTTGTGTCTTCTATGATCCTGATCAGTGTTCAAAACCAAGTCCAGATTGCAGCAAGATTCTTGACCATAAAGGATAAATTGAGTTATGATGAGGAAACCTAGTGATGATAGATTTCTAAAGGAAAGGATGTGAACTAGGAGATGTGATGCAAACTTACCAGAAAGGTTGCAAACACAAAGTTTCCTGGAAAATGTATACGAGTTGCTGTTAACTAGAAATTGCCTTTGCCTGAAACTTCCCAGACATTCTGAGTATTAAAGACCTCCCTCTCTATGCTAATATTGGTGTTCCCTGGTGAAAACACAAATTAGGATGCAGGGCATTAGAAAGATACATGACAACCCCAACAGCATCACATATAATCAGTTTTATTGCCAGGTAAGAAATTTATATTAATATAGTGAATACATGTTTACAAATAAACATTCTTAGAAAACAAACGTGTTTTTTTCTTCATTGTAGGAAGAATTATTCGTATCATAAACTCTGCAGTTGTTGACAAGTATTAACACAAGTTTACTTGCAGAACATACAGTTACTAAAATATTTGCACATAAAATATGCTCCATTTACACAAAAACTGGGAAGAGTTAGATGGGGAGGCCAGGCAGAGCCCAAGGCAGATGGAGGCTGAGATACTGTGAAAGGGTTAAAGGGAAGTCAGACTCTGGTCCCATTGGGTTGGAAATCAGGGGACAGCTAAAGGCAAAAAATAGGGGCTGGTGTCAGGGCATGGAATTAGGAAGAGGACAGCCTCTCTGCTTTGTTCTGGTTTCTCTTCAAGGTGTCACTACCCTAGCTATAGGGTCCTTGTCTTGGTACATGGAAGTCACAGATAGTTCCATGGGTTGTCCTGTCTTTCAGTACTGTGAGGTCTGTCTACCCTCCCAAGAGGAAGCCAAAGAACAAAATGACCTTCCCTGTCCAAATTTTCCTCTTCAGTTCATCTCCCAAAGCCAACTGGAAGATAAGCTAGGAAGCACTTCCTAAGCTTTCCATCCTAGGCAGGACTACGTGGGAAGTGCTGGTCCTTCCCAGTACTGGCACTGTGGCTATGTTTTAATGACCAGGCTGCACCCTCTCCTGCCCAAATTACAACTGCAGACCCCAAGGAGCCCAGTTCAATTGATGAAGTTTATTCAGAGGAGAAGGAGCATGCAGAAGGAATAAAATACTATCAATTCGGAGGCCAAGAAAGACTCTTAATCAGAGTTGAGATGAGGGTGAAATGAAGTGGACTAGGGGCAAAGAGCAAAGATGGGTTAAAAGGGAGATAAGAATTATAGAAACTTTGAGCTGGAAACGTCATAGTTAAGTCAACCCAGGATTTTCTGAAGTGTGGACTGTACACACCTAGTGTGTGCACAGTGACCATAGGCAGTACATGGATACAGCATTGCTCAACACTGACTTGCCTAGGAAATGACTCCCCTATCATTTACCTTCCAGTCCATCTTATTACTACAAAGAGAAAGTCTTCATTGGGTGCTGGTATCTTTAACAATTATTTAACACCTGCTAATATCATTCTGAGAGAGAGAGAGAAAGAACGAACCCCAGGTTTTAGTTCAGACTCACAGACAACAGACTCCAGCTGGAATTTAATCATTGCTGCTTGTTTCCTTTGTACTTATTTTTATGCTTACTTTCTATTTACAGCAATTGATGATGTTTTAAAAATTTGTGATCAAGACAGGAAGTTTTCATTTTAAAAACAAAATGTATTCAAATGAATTAATTTAGATACAAATATTGTGAAGGTGATACACAGAGATGTCAAAGTGTGTTACAGGTACATAGCTCATTAACACCAAGGAAGCTGACCATGTCCAGTGGTATTTGACTCTGGGAAGCGCTGTGGTCTCCCCAAGGAGGCCAAGAAGGTGGGCACTAAATCTCTGACTCCTGCTTTGTACATCATGGTGCCTTTTTATACATGGAGATCTCCTATCGTGTGTTCTTTGAAAGATTTTTTTTTTTGAGACAGAGTCTCATGCCGTTGTTCAGGTTGAGTGCAATGGCAGTTTCAGCTCACCGTAACCACCGCCTCCCGGGTTTATGTGATTCTCCTGCCTCCGCCTCTCAAGTAGCTGGGATTACAGGCATCTACCACCATGCCTGACTAATTTTTGTATTTTTACTAGAGACGGGGTTTCTCCATGTTGGCCAGGCTGGTCTCGAACTCCAGACCTCACATGATCCACCTGTCTCGGCCTCCCAAAGTGCTGGGATTATAGGTGTGAACTACTGTGCCCGACCAAAAGATCTCATTTTAAAAAACAGGCCGAGGTTTTGCCGTTTCAAAAAACCTTGACTGACCCCAATGCCCCATGTTTCAGATGGGAGGCTGAGGCCCAGAAGGATCAGCTGCACTGTCAGTGCCCTCAGATCTGCTCGGAGCGAGGAGGAGAATAAATATCTGGTTTTGCTGATTTCACGATGTCAGAGTAGAGAGACAGGTGAGGCAGAACCTTGCAGTTCAGGATTCCAGAAAATGCTCCGAGTCTTGTTTGACCAGACCACTGATAACTTCGGACACCAGAATTGCTGTGGGTCTGTTGAAGGTTCATTAACTACCTAAGACCTTTAGGGGCTAGTTGAAAAACCTTTCACCTTAGATGAAAATCTCTTCTCTCTCAATCCACCTCGTGGGGCTTCCACAAAACAAAGAGAACTTAGAGGAAACTGACTTTGTTGGGACCCCACGGGCTATGGGTTATGACAACCAACCAGAAAAACCACCTCAGGACATTCTGGTTGGGAGATGAACATGCCCAAGTTTGTGGGGAGGTAATCTGGAGGGACCATGGCAATTACGGGACCAAGAAACATCTGACAGGTTTGGGGGCAGGGCTAGAAAATAGGACTCATGTTGACAGTGTGGAGAGGAGGGAGGTCTTGGTTCTTGGGTACCCCTGACATTGTAGCAGCCCCTCAGAGGGTGTTATGGGGTGGGCTCACCTACAGCGGAAGGATGGAAACACCTTCTAGTACTGCAGAAAAACAAGAGGAAGGAAGGCTAAAAGAACACAGGTTGCACTTGGGAAACAAGACAGTCATGAAACAACAGTAACACATTGAAGGCACCACCCACGCTTATGACATTTTCAGTCCAAAGCAGTTGAAGTTTGGCAGCGGCGGCGGCAACGCGCTGAAGGAAAAGGGATGTCAGGGACAGAGTTTGTAGAGGACTTGTTTCTGTGGCTGTTTCAGGTCTTGGAGGCAAACCCCAGAAATCAGTCTTCTGGGTCCTCATCTGATCTCCTGTGGACTTTTCCAACTGTGGATCCATTGTTGTTGATGTCAACAAGAAGTCTTCAAGATTTTGGAGGAAAAAAAACCAAATTTGCGATTTTTATCTGTTTTGTAGTGGGCTTACATTTTAATTCTCTTTTTAAAAAGTTATTGAATACTCTCCAGACCCTCTCCCCGCCATAAAAGCCCATCCCTCCCGTTTCCATCGTCATGGTCCTTATGGGAGTTCTCTAAAATGTTTTTTTCTTTTTTCTTCCCATCATTGTCAGTGGGTTCAGGGTCTATTTATTTTTTGTGAGTTTGAGGGTTTTTTTTGCTTTCAACATGGATGATATGAAAAGTACTATAAATAGAACAGTTGGGGTCCAGTGACCGTTTCATGCTTGTCAAAATTTTACGTTCACATCACCACTTCTTGGAATTAGAAAAATGCTTCTAATGTGGGCAGATTCCTCCCAGAACAACTCCTCGTCTGAAATACACTCTTGTGTCCTCCCTCGTTCTCTGCCCCCACTTCCACCCTGGCTCTTGTACCTAGAAACAGCACACGGCAAGTAGTGTATGTGCTCAAATGGACAATTTCTCTAAATTGTGCTACTTTTATATTTTTTCATCATGGATTTCAGTTTCAAGTTAGGAGGAAAAGAATCATCATCCCCGCGTTTGGGCATGTTGAGTTGGCCACCTTGGGCCCGCAGTGGAAAGAGTGTGCCTCAGTTTCCCCTTTGCTGTATTGCTGAATGTCCACGCTTCGGCCTTTCTCAGCTGCCTGCCAACACGTGCTAGGCATGACCTAGGAAAAATGCGACTCCGTGTCCCCAGTAGGTTCATAGTTGGTTCTTGTTGAGAGTTAGTGTATGGGTGCATGTGTTGGGGAGGGGAGGGTGTGGCCAGGTTTTTTTTTTTTTTTTTTTTTTTTTTTTTTTTTTTGCCTCTCTCAGTTGAATGTGGTCTCCAGGGTGCTCCCTGTGTTGAAAGCTCAGACAGTCACTTCTGTTTTGCTGTTGGTGATGAAGTATGGCTGTGGGGGTGGGTAGTGCTGGGGGCGAGTTCCCAAGGGGTCACTGGAGCCTGTCTCGGCCGTGCCAAGCTTGCCCTTGTTGCCGTAAGCCTGTCGCCGCAGGGACTGCTCGTTGGGGTCCCAGCCCTTAAAGTTGGTGGTGGAGTTGTAGGCCAGGGGATGTGGGGGCATCTTGTTGGTGCGAGACTTCTGTCCATTCTGCATGGCAGGACCGTGCTCGGGGCTGAAGGCCCGCGGCTCGTCCTCCACTCTTACGGGGTGCAAAGGTAGGTTCCCCTTGGCAGCCAGCTCAGCCAGATGCCGTCGCTTGGTGTAGAAGTCATCATTGACCTTGTCAGCTGCACAGTGGAACAGGTGGATGAAGAAGGGGAAAAAAGAGAAGTGGAGAGAGAGAGAGACAGAGAGAGACAGAGAGTTAGAGACTGGCATGTCAACCCAAGAACAGCATAAAAACGGACCAACCGTCCCAACAAAAGACACACTAGAAACTCCACCTAGAACAAGACAGAGGGAAGGGCAGCACCATGTCCTTTTCACAAACAAAAGCAGGACCAAGAGGATGAAGGGCATCCCTAAGGGAACCTCTAGACCCCCAAAATAAACACCTCTCCCACCGCAGTCCCACTTACCATTCTGCCATCCTTGGCTTTCCTGTGAAATTCACGTGTTGCTTCTTCATTACTAAAATGGTACATTCTCATCAGAGAAAATACTGAACACGTTACTCGATATTCCTATCCACCTCTTACCAATTAAGACAGCTGATAGCAACCTTTGGGTGTAGTTTCTTCTGGTCTTTTTAATAAACAGAGTTTAATTTGGGATTTTTCTTGGTTGGTTTATTTTTGTTTTTGCTTTTTGCAGTTAAGCAGACCTGTATTCACGTTCCATCTCTGACACCTGTTAGCAGCTAAACCTTGACTAAATTACTTAACGTTTATCACCATCAGCTTCTCCACAAGGAAAGTCATGCCATTAAAAAAGTATACTTCAGAGATGTGTTTGGAGAGTTAAATGACCTGTGTAAAGTGCTTAGATACTATTCACTTTATTCAGTTATCATCATCATTATAAATGTCTGTTTCCATTTCTTATGTAATGTTTTATCACTATTTCTTCATGTTGTTATAAATTATTAATAAATAGCATTTTCATGTGTACTTAATATTTCATTGAGCAGAAATATAAAATGAATCCCCCTATTCATGTTATAGTTGTGCCAATATTTTGCTATTATAAATAAAATCGAGATGAAACTCTTTTCATTTAAACCTCTCATGATATTTATAATTTTGAATTTAGAATAATTCTAAAAATGTTTTCTTTTTAATTAATTATTTGTTTTTGAGACAGGATCTCACTCTGCTGCTCAAGCTAAAGTGCAACCTCTACCTGCCAGGCCGAGATGATTCTCCCGAGTAGCTGGGACCACAGGCATGCACCATCACACTAGGTTAATTTTTTTATTTTTATTTTTTGTAGAAATGAGGTTTTGCCATGTTGCCCAGGCTTGTCTTGAACTCCTGGGCTCAAGCAATCCTCCCACCTCGGCCTCCCAAAATGTTGAGATTACAGGTGTGAGTCACGGCACCAGGCCTGTTTTCTTAATTTACATCAGGGATTGGCAAACTATGACCGGGAGGCCAAATCTGGCCATAACCTGATTTTGTAAATAAAGTTTTACTGGAAACAAAACCATACCCATTCATTTATGTATTATCCATGGCTGCTTTTGCTCTGCTATAGTAGAATGGTGTGCTGGTGACAGAAACTGTGAGGCCAGAAGAGCCAGAGATATTTATTATCCAGTCCTTTTTTAAGTTTGCTAACTTTTGATCTGGATTATAAAATGTGGAATTATTTGGCCAAAGAGTATAAACATTGTTAAGTCTCTTGACAAATATTGCCAACTCTTCTATGAAAGAGTTCTATCAATTTCCATTCAATTTAACTACATTCTCTTCAGCTCTGAAAGATTCCTTCCTTCCTTTCCTCCCTCCCTCCTTCCCTTCTTCCTTCCATCTTTCCTTCCTTCCCTTCTTCCTTCCTCTGTCCTTCCTTTCTTCCTTCTCATCTTTCCTTCCTTCCTTTCTTTCTCCCTCCCTCCCTTCCTCCCTGTTCCTTCATTGTTACTTCTCTTTCTCTGTCTTTGAGGACTAAGCTCTGACTTTTTCTTATCTTGCCCAAATTTCTATCTAAGTGGTCTGGGAGTCATGCCCTACAAACCATACATTCTCATCAGATGGGTTTTACTTAACCGTCTATATCATGACTTACTTTCCTATCTGACTCTAGCACAACATTACATGACAAAAGAAAATCAAAGTAATTTACCCGAAAACATTTTTTTTTTTGCCATATTTTGAAGTGGCCCTACAAAGCCATTTTTTTTGAGGGGGGGGAATCTACATCTGTAAAGAAGCTCTATTAACATAGCTTGATCTTTTTCTTCCAGGAAGCCCTCACAATCCTGAAGAGATTAACTGAGAGTCTATCACCTTTTAAAGGTCTGAATAGGAAACATTTGTCATCCATTGTCTATAAGCACAGCCACTATCAGACTTCAAAAGAACCTTATTCTCCACAATCTTCTATCTTAACCTGAACATTTCCTTTCTATTGATCACGTCTTTAGACTCAACCAATTGTCAACCAGAAAATGTTTAAATTTACCTATAGCCTTGAAGTCCCCCCAAGTCCCTTCAAATTGTACCATTTTTTGGGACCAAACCAATGTAATTCTTCTATGTATTTGATTGATGTCTCATGCCTCCCTAAATGGTATAAAACCAAGTTGCACCCCAACCACTTGGGCACATGTTCTCAGGACTTCTGAGGGCTGTGTCACGGGCCATAATCACTCATATCTGGCTCAGGATAAATCTCTCCAAATATTTTACAAAGTTTGACTCTTTCCATTCACATTTTCTTTCCTTTTTATGTTTTTGAGACGGAGTCTCGCTCTGTAGCCCAGGCTGGAGTGCAGCGGCATGATCTCGGCTCACTGCAACCTCTACCCCAAGTTTAAGCAATTCTCCTGTCTCAGCCTCCTGAGTAGCTGGGATTACAAGCACCTGCCAAGATGCCCGGCTAATTTTTGTATTTTTAGTAGAGATGGGGTTTTGCCATGTTGGTCAGGCTGGTTTCCATCTCCTGATCTCAGGTGATCTGCCCACCTCGTCCTCCCAAAGTGCTGGGATTATAGGTGTGAGCCACCGCGCCTAGCCCGTTTTTTTTTTTTTATTATTATACTTTAAGTTCTAGGATACATATGCAGAATGTGCAGGTTTGTTACATAGGTATACATGTGCCATGACGGTTTAATTTTTATTTGACAATTTTATGATACCTCCTTTTATTTTTTCTCTTGTTTCCAGATTCTTGTATTATAAGAACCTCTACATTTTAAAAATTAATTCATTAGCAATAAACTTTGAACTTTCATCTCTCAGGAGACCAGAAGCACTTGCTGCTCTTTCATCCACATATTGGGATCTCAGTGTCACACACATGAATTTACGGAAATTCACAGAGACCATCAGAGCTCTGTCCTTCTTTTCTCATTAGATTCTTTCAACAATGAAGACAGAAAAAACGGGACTATTACTCCCGCATGACAAATAAGGAAACTGTTAGGCTCTGGCATATAAAATGATTAAACTAAGGTTACCCAGAGCAAATGGCTGAGCCAGAGTAGAACCTACGTTCAATCAACATTATTTGAAAAGGCCATAGAGGAAAAGCTTTGGTTTCAGAACTGAAACAAAAAAATGTCCTTGTTTCTGCCTCTGTGTCTATGCTAGATATCATTCATGGATCACGTACTCTTTCCCGGCTAGTGTGGCCACCGCTTGGTCTACTGCTCAAGGCACCACCCCAGGAAGCCACGTATTAACTTTCTATGTATAGCACAGTTTCAGTTGAGTTTATACTCCTTGTAATGCAAATAGCTCCAACTGATAAAGCCTTTCAAGAGAAAGTACCTCTTTACATTCTACGGCTACCTGAAGGTACCGAATGTCAAAGCCAAAAGGAATCTTGGAATCTGCTACTAAGGCTGTGAGGATCACACATTCCTGAAATGTCATGAATTGTTTAAGGTAGCACAAGTTAATATTAGAGGTGGGACTGGAACCCATCTTCCTGCCTTTTACGGGAACATTCTAGATTTCCAGTGCCCTGAAACTTCAATAGAAGAATGCTCAAAGATTCCTTCTTAGACATCAAAATTTGTGTGTCATTACCTCCTGGACAGATGCACCAGCATCTCTGGTGCAAGGTGGTCATGCCCGAACCCAGCAACATTACTCAGATCTGTTCTTCTGTGAACCAGAGCAATTCCATCTTGAATAGGAGCTGGGCAAAATGAGGCTGAGACCTACAGGGCTGCATTCACAGACAATTAAGGCATTCACAGGATGAGACAGAAGGATGGCACAAGATACAGGTCATAAAGGCCTTGCTGACAAAACAGGCTGCAGTAAAGAAGCTGGCTAAATCCCACCAAAACCAAGACGGCCGTAAGAGTGACCTCTGGGCGTCCTCACTGCTACATTCCTACCAGCGCCATGACAGCTGACGAATACTATGGCAACGTCAGGAAGTTACCCTATGTAGTCTGAAAAGGGAGGCATACATAATCCATTTCTTATTTAGCATATTAAGAATCAGGAAATAACCATAAAAATGGGTAACCAGCAGTCCTCGGGGCTGCTCTGTCTACGGAGTAGCCATTCTTTTATTCCTCTACTTTTTACTCTACTTTCGCTTCACTCTGTGGACTCTCCCTAAATTCTTTCTTCCGTGAGATCCAAGAACCCTCTCTTGGGGTCTAGATCGGGACCCCTTTCCCGTAACGAAGGTGGCCATGCCGGAACCCAGCAACATTACTTAGATCTCTTCTTCTGCTTCTTCCTTATCTCTCACATGGGACCACCCACTCCTTAGCCACTTAAGCCAGAAACTTGGGAACAATGGTTGACTTCGTTCTCCTCTTCTCTTGCAGCACAACTGCCCGACCGGCAAGTCCTGCAAGCTGTATCTAACAAATATTTCAGCCTATTCCCTTTCTCCTACCTCTTTGAACACTGTTCTACTTCAGTAACCAAACTGGCCTTCCTGCCTTGTTTCACCTCCTCCAATCCATTCTCCATGCTGCAGTCTTCCAGCTATTTGTTCAATCATTTAGTCATTCATCAAACAGGTACCCACCGTGTGACACTTGAAATACAAAGGAGAAACAGAAATAGACATGGTTCTTGCCCTGCTGGGGTGGACATTCTAGTATGGAGGTAGGCATTCATCCAAACCAGTCTGCCTTCTTCTCTGTCTCCCGTCT